CAATAAAGTCGCTAATATTTACCTTTTTAGATTGACAATTTTCTTAGCAGAACAATCGATTTTTTTTTTATTTCAATACACCGTAGTGGATGAATTTGTGAAAATTTACCATACTTAACAATCTCAGTTATTAAAAAAAGATCAATTTATATGAAAAAAACTTTCTACAAATTTTTATATGATACCGCACATAGCTTTGATTTGCTTAGTTGATAGGCTACTAAAATAAAATATCTGCACATATATATGAAAATATGTAGTGAAACTGAACAAGTTGCAAATTTAGCAGGTTTGGGTCAAAATCCTGTAAACAGAATCCTGATAGCATCAAAATCCTAAAAAAGGCAGCCAGAATTAGTTTAATATTGACCAATTTTTTGGAAATTTCGGCTGTTGGAATTCTTATTTTTGGGATTTTGACCCAACCCCAAATTTAGCTTAACTCCAATCTTTAAGGTTTTAAATTTCCCATACTCTCAATAGTAATTTATTTAGTATACACGTGTGTACCAAAATTTTGAATAAATAATTACTATATTTCATGAACTAACGGGAATGGGCGTTATTTAATTATCACCTTTAAGAAATTCTTTACTGATCGCTATTCTTAAAGTAAACTACCCTTAATCCATCATTTTATTTTCTTAAACTTCCTTACTATTACTTCTGCATCATTTATCCTTAAATTAAATACATCACCCGCATAACATTTAAACTGACCTGACCCTGTTTGATTTAATTTATTGATAATCATGATCGATCCCGAATCAAATATTTGATCTGCAAGCTTACTAAATCGGACGTTATCAGATAATCGCTCTCCCAATTAATAGTAACAGTAGCAATATTAAAAGATTTATTATTGCACTTGTAATCTTGTATGAGTATATTTAGGCCCACAGGCAGTTCATAGATACCTGTGGGCCTAACAGGCCGGCTAGGGTATTGAATTTTGGGCCCTAGAATAAGGGTAAGGGCTCAATAGTTAAGCCCTTACACAAACGGGTAGGGCTAGGGTATTGCTATTACCCGGCCCTACCCGGCCCATGCGGAGGCCTAGCACAAGCAGAACCCCGAACAATTCTATAGTAGGTGGTAGAGTAAAAAGTGAGTAGATTTTGGAACAAATTCACCTTAATTCTGGTCAAAATTAAAATTAATTTTTAATTTTGACCAGAATTAAGACGAGTTTGGCCCAAAAAATCTACCCACTTTTTACCCCCACCTCTATTATAATTGTCCAGGGTCCTGCGCAAGCCTACTTAGACTTCTGAAACTTTGCAAGAGCACACAAATTTATTTTTTATTAATTTATTTTATTTCGACACTTTGCAAAAACAGAACTCCTACTTCCTAGCACTTTGCAAGAAAACCAATCCAGACTTTTTTGGCACTTAGCGACTTTTTTGCCATTTTGCAAGAACATTAACCCGGCTTTCGCAATTTCTGAATTTGCAAGAATGCGAACTTTGTTTATTTTGGATTTCGTATAGGTTTTGTAGTAGTACTCCTTTATATTTTCTTTTGTTTTCTAAAATATTTGTTGTTCGTATAAATCTGGTAATACTCTTTGTCCTAGAGGCTAGGTAAGGAAGATCAAAGGAAAGTTTAGTAATGTTGGCAAGGCTTCTTAAAGCCTTAAAGGAAGAAAGAAGATGGAAAGGTAATTTTTTGCTTGTCGTAAAAAAAAAGAAAAGTTCTTTTTATTTTGGCTTTAAGTAGCTAGATGAGCTATCTATTTCAATACCAATTTGGTATCACCAATTTGGTGTCGAAGTAGTGCGGCAGGTTGTATTTAGGTATCCGGGTACTTAGATACCAACTAAAATAGCCGGATGATGCTAAACTTATATTATTAGGCAGTACTATATAGGTGCAATAGTAAATACAAGTAGCTTAATAAAGTATTAGCATGGCTGCTTAAGGTTAAAAAAAAAATTTAAAAACTTTTTGAAAATATGAGAAATATTGTGAAAAACTGCAGATTTATATGATAATATATGAAATATTACCTCCTGTAACCCCGAAATAAGATAATTAGATAGAGGTTTGCATTGTTTTATTTGGCCTATTTTGCAATATTTTGCAATATATTTTGCAATATTTTACAATATTTTGCAATATATTTCGAAATATTTCAAAAAAATGCATACCAAAATCTTTTAAAAGATTGTGTTTTTTTCGAAAGATTTCACATCGATCGCAATTTTTTCGAAAAATTTTGGCATGCAATTTCTTTCAAAAGATTTCGTATATTTATTTTGCGGATATTGAGCCGCTGACATTTATTAGGTAATATTTTAGGGGATGAGGGGTCAAGAAAAATCTTATTTTAGTTAAATTTGATTGGCTAAAATTTTATTTATAGATCTTATCTGGGGGTGGGGGTAAGCCCCTATAGTAAATGAATATTAGGTAATAAATATCAGTGCCCTTGTTTAAACTTAAACAAAGATTATTAATAAAGTTTTTGAAAAATTAATTTGGGATATATTTGGGATTTGGGCATGAACAAATCCCAAACTATAGTAATTTGGGATTTTGCTAATATGTATAACTACACCTGAATAGAATAGCTTGGCAAATTTATTTGTGCTAGTAATATCAATATATACAAATACCTAGTAATAGGACCTCTAAGTTTTTAGTTAATAATAAAAAAATTAATAATGCATTATTAATATTATTAATATAGTATTTAATAACTTTATCGTAAATAATACTCTTTCTAATGATCACTTGGACCAAATTACAAACGGAAGAAAAACAAAAAGTTTTTTGTTGGAGCGTTGCCTGTACATAATGTATAGTAGGATAACACAAGGAATCAGTTTTTACAAAGATCAACTGCTGCACTAGAGACTCTTTTGTATATTCAACATGCAAGCCAAAAACGTACTTTTACAAGATAACTAGCAGAAGGTAAAGCTCTTGTACAAAAAATTTTGGTAGGGATTAAAAATTTTTTTCTGTCGACAAAGTACCTTGTAGCAAAATAGTAGAAAACAACAAAAAAATGAGTTTCTCTGATCTCACCCTCTTCTTTGAATTTCTTTCGAGTATCGTTGTACTTCTCTTTGGATTTTTCCAAAATTTTTGCCAAAAAGTAGGAATCCTAGCTTACCCTCTCTAAAAGATCAGCAGTGTTTACTCCTTCCAAATCGGGATTAGAACCTGAATAGAGACTGGCACTATCACAAGTGAATTTGGTCGCTACATACAAATAAACAATAAATGACGTAGTTGAATCTGAGGGCAGTATTGTACATTTTCACTGTCCCAGCCTTTTTTTGCCATGTCCCAACATCCCAATGTCCTAGCGTTCCAAGTGTCCCAACTATGTTTCAAGCCTTAATAATTAATAAATTAATTTAAAAAAATATATAATTATATATTTTTTTAGATGCTGAATAGTGATGCCACCGAAATTGATTTTTGAAAAAGGCCTATTTCATCTTCATTAGAAAAAGTTAAAATTTTTTATAAGAGCAAATAAAATTTATATAGATATGTTCCTTATAATTTCGTCTATTCAAAAAAAGTATCAAATAATTTCGTCTTTCAAGTAAAATAGGTCAAAAACAATTTTATCTTCAAATTTTAATTTCAGGTTTTAGAACCCGAATGCTTTCGTTCTCATGTATAGTGCTGAACACATTTTTAAAAAAATTTAATTAGATTATCTTAATAAAATTTTAAGTAATTTCAATTTATAAAATTGTCCCAGAATGTCACAAAATATCCCAACGTATGTCCCAACTGTCCCATGTACAATACTGTCTGAGGGCACATGAAAAATTTTTTATCTTTTTTTTTAATATTAATTAGTCTTATTAGTTTTTTTACTTTTTTGCCATATATATAACCTTTTGATAGATTTAGTCTATGTAGTATTATATAATTTTTATCATCTTGTGCAGATATAGTAGCACCTTATTTTTTATTCTTCTTTGCTTGTTCTTTGGGGTTTATTTTTTTTTCCTTCTATTTGTTTTATTAGTTTGTTTGTAGTCGTTTAGGTTTTTTGTCTTGCTCCCATTTGATCTTTCTTCTTTTTTTATTTTTTGTCATGAGTAGCTCAGAGAGGAAGTTTTTTAGGAGGAATAAATTATGAAATAGGTAGCTAATACCAGTTATACACTATCTGTTGTTTTAGAAAGACTGATTCATCGGTAGTGCTTACAAAAATCAGTATAGTAGCCAAAGTTGGGCACCAATTCAGGTAGCTGGCTTTGCATCGATCATTATAGTTAGAACATGTAATTATATAGCTTCTATGTAATTCTCTAATAAAAATCAGATTGGTTACAAAATTTAAAAAAAAAAATTGAATAACTTTATCATTATTATTAATAATTGATTAAGCTAAATAAACTATTAATAGAGTTAATAAATTTTTGAAAAAATATTAATTCTATGCATTTGTAGAATTAAAAAAAAAATCATTTAAATTTGGTTTAGTAGTTATTGAAAAAACTTTTACTAGAATTTAAAAAAAAAATATTAAAAAAAAACTGTACAAACCTTTATTTAAAGGGCCAATATAAAATAAGTTGTTTTTTTTATACTACCTGATCTAGCCAATATGCATCAGTTTTCTATTGTTTTGATTGTTTTATTTTGTATTACATCTGATCTATTCAATCAGAATTTAGAATTTGTTAACACACAAATATTAGGTATTACTATTGCTCTATTTGTAATATTTTTTAGATAATTAATATATAAGAACTAAAAAAAATTTAAAATATAGTATATACAGTAGCCAACAAAAGTAATATTTAGTTTTCACTCAAAATATAAAATTTTTATTTATTTATTTTGGCCACATATATATTAATTTTTTTATTTATTTAATATATTGATAAGTGACTCTTTATACCCGTAATAGCCTTAGTTCTTTATATTATTGAGCCTAAAACTAGGATCCTAAACAATTTATATGAGGTCATATTTGAAAAATTGCTAATAGAGGCCTGTTCTCCTTTTCTGACCATAAAAGGAATGTGATCGAATGGTAAAATGAAGGAATTTGGCCCCTTAGATTGTTGGTTTAATTCCAGCCATCACTGCCAAATCATGGTTTTAAAAAAGGTTATATTTGAAAAGTAGATATTGAAGAAAAAGGTTATATTTAAAATAGAGATGTTAATGGAGTAAAGTACTCCAGAGTAACTGTGGAGTATAATCCACTCCATACTGGTGTGGTCTAGACATGACACCACCTCGGATTACTAAGATATTATTAGAGTTCTTAATGGGCTGGGTTGGGCCAGGTTCATTAAACCCAAACTCGGTCTGTAGAATTATAAACCTAGCCCAAGCCTGGCCCAATTTATCACAGGTTTGAAATATAAGCCCAAACCCGGTCTAAGCTTAGCCCAGCCCGACCCGACCCAACCCAAGCCTGGCCCAACCCAAGTCCGCCCAACCCAAGCCCGGCCCAACAAGCCTAACCCAATCCATAATTTGCAAATAGTATTACTAATTAATTAATTATCAACAATCAATTAATTGTTCAATAAAATTATCATTGATTAGTTGGCAACTTGACAACTAATTAATTTTTGATTTGGAACACTAAAATAATTATTTTCCAAACAATTTAATTATTAAAATGTATATTCTTGGAATCTATTATATTATATTATGCTAAAAATTACACACTTTACCAAATTAACTAGAATATTATTTGGTTAATTTTTATTAGATATTTTAAGAATTATAAAAATAGCTAACTAAATTAAAAAAATTATAGTTTAAAAAGAAATAAAATTTTAACATCTAAATTAAATACAATAGCCTGTAGCTAGTAAAAACTATATTTTTAATGGGTATTGCCAGGTTTTATTGGGCCTCTTTATAAAACCCAGGCCTAGCCCATTATTTTACAAGCCTAATCCAAGCCTGGTCCAATTAATCATGGGCTTAAAATTTGGGTCCAAGCCCGGCCCAGGCCCAGCCCAACCCACAAATTACTGGGTTTGGCCCGGCCCATTGCAAACCCTAGATATTATTAATAGTAGTAATTGCTCCAGAGTAATACTACTAATACAAAATGGATTATACACTGAAGTATTATTATATATATATTTTTTACTGTATTTCCCCAAAATAAGGTAGCATATTTTGGGAAAATACAGTACTATAAACTCCGGAGTATTACATAGTGCTTAGCACATAGTACTTCAGGTTATACTCTGGGTTATACTCTAGGTTACACTTTGGAGTATGCTCTGATTCATACTTCAGTGTGGTATAGTGTTAAGGGATACTCTGCTAGAGTATGCACTACACTAGGACCCTGAACAATCTATAAATAGCTAACAATTTTAAAAAATTGTTATATATTTCTAAAAATGGGGAAGATTTACAAAAAAATAGTAAAAAATAAGCATTAATATTACTAAATATAGAAAAGATCTACAAAAAATTGTCAAAAATAAGCAAAAGCAAATTGCCACCTATCTATGTATAGTTCGGGGTTCTACTACACCACCCTGGAGCACTCCATTAACATTCCTAATTTGAAAACAGCTAAATGGCAAAAAAGGTATATTTAAAAGAATGTTAATGGGGAAATTTTTATAAATCTTACATTTGAAATGTGATAATGAAAAATCCAGGCTATAAATACAAAAATCGAAAAAAGCAAAAATTGAAAAAATATAAAAATTAAATAAAAATTGAATATAACAGTTTTTTTTTTTTAAGTTTTTTTTTACATTTTGTAGTATAAATGGGCTTAAAAATTTTGAACTCTGGTTTTTTTTTTCTTTAGAGAATAGTTTGTTTTTTTTTATTTTTTTTTTTTAGAGAATGGTTTGTTTTTTTTTTTTTT